CTGCTCGTTCTACGCGTACCCTTTCATTGTGGGGTACACATTGCCGCTCCCGATGCTAGTGGTCAACTTTTGTCGCTACTACGAGGTATGCCCCGCCCAGATATCTTCGTACTTGTATAAGCTCTTTCTCATGTTCATTAAATACGCGAAGCTAGCAAGTCGTGACGTCACCCTGAGGCATGTGCTTAGTCTGTTCGCCCCCCAAAGGATTCGGGGCACTATGATCCACGTGCATCCTCGTGGGTCAAGAGGGTTGGTGGTCGATATGGACGACCGCACCAACCGCCGCTTTGCTGATAATTTCTTCTTCGTGCGGACCGAACATCTTGTGGGGATCCGACCGACTTCCCGGTGGTGTGGAATTTCGCCCGTAAGTATGTGTTTTTGGTCGCCGAAATTCGTTTTGGGTCTTTCTTCCCTCATGTCTTGTGTTACCTGTAGACTTATTTTTGATGTTCTGCAGCCGAGAAGGTGCCGCCGCCGCCCTTGGAGGGGATCCGGGACTGGGTAGAGGCCGTCTTTCCCCATACAGTGGGGATTCGCACGTGGGCGTTGTTCCGTCTGAAGTTCGGTCGTAGGCCCCTCACAGGTGAGATTGCCTTCTTACTTCCTAACCTCTTTTGTCCATTCCTCATTTCCTGAACTTTGTTCGTTGTGATTAGGGAGGGTTCGCAGAACCAGGGCCCCTCAGTTGGCGTTCTGTCGCCCGGGTGCGGTCGCTCGGATTAGTGCTCCACCTGTAACTCATCCTTTGTCGAGGGCGACATCCGTGGAGTCAATGGCTTTCACCAGCCCAGCCCGAGTCGTGTCTCGGGAAGAAGGCCCGTCCGGTACTGTTCGTCCGCTAGCTGAGTCGTCATCGACCAGGAAGGAGGACGGGCCACCAAAGAGGCGGAGAGTGGGCTTCGAGATGGCTCCCCCAACGGTGATTAACTTGGACTCTCCTCCGGCGGGGCCAGGAGGGAGGTGTTGTCACAGAGTCTGCTGTAGAGACGGAACATACGGTCAACGCTATTCCTGCGAGTCGGAGCCCAGAGGACTCCGCTGTTGCTGTACCTCAAACGGAAGTTCCTACTGCGGATGTGGCGACTGATCAGTCCTTTGGGACTACTGTCGTGGCCTCGGTCGAGCCGCCATCATCATCGGTAGGTCGTGCCACACCGTTGGCAGTGGAGAGGGGGAAGAGCGTGCTGGTGGACGAGTATGAGTCTGAGTCTGACCTGGACCCTGATGACATTCGAATGTTTTAAGAGGGCATCACCCATTCGGTGGTCAATGCGGAGAGGCTAGCCCGCCTCGTTGATGTTCCCACAGATATGAACCTGTTGGCCCAGAGGGGTGAGTTGGTGGAGCAGTTCAGCCTGCTGTGTTCCGGGGCTGAGAATGAGTCCCTGAGGGAGGTTCCGGATGTCGCCGTGATGGAGGAGGTGGCCGTAATGGGCTTGCGGGTACGCTATACTTAGACTTTTAATCTGTCAGCCCTTTAGTGTGGAGTGGACGTTTTTCTAACTATTCTTTGTTTTGCAGTCGTATATACTAGAAGTGGAGAACATCCGCAGGGCCAACGTTCGGTCGAGGATCTTCTTGCAGATGTTGGGGAAGTATCGTCGTTACCGCGATAGGTGTCACGAGCTGCATGAGCGGTTGAGAAACGATCCTCGCACCCAGGCGTTGGGCGAGGAGTTGGAGTGGAAGGACCGCGAGCTATTGCAAGTGCTGCGCAGCAGGAGTGAGCTCGAGGAGCGAATTCGTCTCAAGGACGAGGAGCTCGAAGTGGGGAGGGGTGTCGCCGCCGAGTGTGAGTATCTGGAACGCAAGGTGCGGGAACTAAAGCTGGAGATGGAGCAAAGTCGGGCCAGAATTATGGAAATTGAGGTCGAGTGGGGAGCGAAGTTGGCTTCCCTGGAGGGTCAAGTCGCCGTCCTGGAGCATGCGGAGAGGGATGCGTCAACAAGGGCAGCGGTCTTTGAGGCAGCGGTTTGTGTCCAGGAATCCCAACGAGAGTCGGAGGGTGAGGCTGCAGCCTTTAGGGAGGCGAGGCTTGAGGAGCTTATCGGCGAGATTGATCAAGAGGCTCAGGATTTGTCGGATCGGGTTGCTGTTTTGGAGGAAGAGAACCAGCGCCTGAGAGCCTTGGCTGGACCAGCTCGTACCGGCGTTCCCCCCAGACTCATGATCTTTGGGTTTACGCCGAAGCCCAGCTTGACATTTTTGAGAACCTGTTGGAGGAGGGCGCCGTGTCTGAGGAGGCTGTGGGGATGGCACGCCAAAAAGCCCGCGAAGCAAGAGCCAACTGCGGGTATGAAGTGGGGACGCCCGAGACCAATGATGGTGCCCGTGGTGGCGGTGATGATGGCCTTGATGAAGGCGAAGATGACGACGGCAGTGCTGGCGCCGAGTAAAAAAAAAATGAGTCTGTTCTGTATTGGTCTTTCCTTTGGTTACGCCGATGGGCATTTGTTTGTTTGTTGTTTCTCTCTTCTTTTTTTTACATTTGACTCTTTGGCCGGCTTGGACCGGGTGTAAGCGGTGTTGGCCCGCGTTTCTGCCTCTATTAATAAAGGATTCTTTCTTCTATCGCCATTGCTTTGTGATGGTGTGCTCTTTATCGATTAGTGATCCGGCTGTGGGCGGTAGACGGTTGTCTTTGCTCGAGTAAGGTCGAGTTACAAGGTTTTGATGGTGAGGGCACTTAGCCTGAGTCCTAGTCCGAGCAAGGTCGAACTGTACTGTGTTGATGGCGAAGGCACTTAGCCTGAGTCCCAATTCGAGCGAGGTCGAACTGTATTATTTTGATGGCGAAGGCACTTAGCTTGAGTCTCAATTCGAGCGAGGTCGAACTGTATTATTTTGATGGCGAAGGCACTTAGCCTGAGTCTCAATTCGAGCGAGGTCGAACTGTAGTATGTTTATGGCGAAGGCAGTTAGCCTGAGTCCCAGTTCGAGCGAGGTCGAACTGTACTATGTTGATGGCGAAGGCACTTAGCTTGAGTCCCAGTTCCAGCGAGGTCGAACTGTACTATGTTGATGGCGAAGGCACTTAGCCTGAGTCCCAGTTCGAGCGAGGTCGAACTGTACTATGTTGATGGCGAAGGCACTTAGCCTGAGTTTCAATTCGAGCGAGGTCAAACTGTACTATGTGTATGGCGAAGGCACTTAGCCTGAGTCCCAGTTCGAGCGAGGTCGAACTGTACTATGTTGATGGCGAAGGCACTTAGCCTAAGTCTCAATTCGAGCGAGGTCGAACTGTACTATGTTGATGGCGAAGGCATTTAGCCTGAGTCCCAGTTCGAGCGAGGTCGAACTGTACTATGTTGATGGTAAAGGCACTTAGCCTGAGTTCAAGTTCGAGCGAGGTCGAACTGTACTATGTTGATGACGAAGTCACTTAGCCTGCATCATGTGTTGCGTTCGCGTTACGCTCATCTTCTTGATTGTGACATTCAAATTGTTCCAGGTTCGTTTTCGATGTCTCGTTTGCGGCGCTTTTTCGCCGGTTTCCGGCCTGACACGGCGGGGAAGATGAGTGGGAGTTACAGCTAGGGACGGCTTCTCTATATTCTCTGTTTGGCGCGTTTCCGTCGATTCTGGTTTGAATCGAGCTATCCTCTTGATGCTTTTCCTTTGATTCGGGAGGAACTAAGAGTTTTCGCTAGAAAATCCCCACAGACGGCGCCAAATTGTTTGACTTAAAATGTTATCGAACAATATTTAAGCAAATCAATCAAATGTATGCAAAGAGGTAAATCATAGCCAACCATAATTAACACCTAATCAAGGATTAAAGAAGCAAGACGGTAGATTCTATAGAAATAATATTCAAGAGACTTTATTGATCATGTAAACTGGTCCTGCCTCCCCTTGGGAAGGTTCAGGAAGTTTGTAGTTTGTTTCTCCCCTTCTAGATCGGTCCTGCCTCTCCTTGGAAAGGTTCAGGAAGTTTGTAGTTTGTTTCTCCCCTTCTAGATCGGTCCTGCCTCTCCTTGGAAAGGTTCAGGAAGTTTGTAGTTTGTTTCTCCCCTTCTAGATCGGTCCTGCCTCTCCTTGGAAAAGGTTCAGGAAGTTTGTAGTTTGTTTCTCCCCTCCTAGATCGGATCTCGGAATGGAGAGATATCCCTTTCCTTTTTGGGAGAGAGGGAGAGAATGGAGAAAGTCCAGAGTCCAGATAATCTCCGGAGCGGCCCCCCTAAAGTAACTCTCTTCTTCCCCATTTATAGTTGGGGGTCTCACGCCCATCGGGCCCTCTCTTGGCCGACCCGGTCGAGGGGGCGACGCTTCCCTCGTGGGGGGGGGGAGGGGGCGACCTCGACGCTAGCTTCATAATTGGTGTGGATCGGACGAGGTCAGGTTCGTTAGCCATTGCTCTGGGGGAACGCTTGAGACGGGGTCGATACCACGACGGTCGATTGGGCAGATTTCTGACTAATAAAGTATCTAAATCATAAATTTTGGAAACAATAAACGTGAAAATAACAGAATTATCATTGTCTACTAACTTACGTACATGGAAATATTCATAAATTATTGTCTATTAACTTACGTAATTATTTATAATTTATTTTTAAATAATATGATAAACATATTTATGGTAATCATCCCATGAACTGAAGTTCCATAGCAGCACCAACAGTAGCAGAAGAAAGAAGAAGAAGAAGAAGAAGAAGAAGAAGAAGAAGAAGAAGACGAAGAAGGAGAAAGGGGACTGAAGTTTTTAAAAGTAGGTATAAACTAAAAAAAAATTATAAAAAATAGGTATAGATTAAATGGGGACGACCAAATAGCAGCCTGTACAATTTTTACCAATTTCCTCCTAGCTAAAAAGACATTAGTATAAGAGGCGATCGAGCTCTTTGTCCTCCAAATTAACCCCATATGACGTCCGTTTCTACAGACGTGTCCGCTGCATGCGGCTGAACAAGACACGTACACACGTACTACTCTTCCACCGTTTTCCTACCATACATATAAATAGCTTTCCCAAATAATTATTCTTCATCACTCACTACATTGATTTACTTTAACACGTATATGTATGTACTCTCGTTTTCTAATTCCTTCTTCGACTCGAGCTTTATCTTCCGCTTTCAACACTCACCTTAACAGCAGTCATCAGCTTTCTCCCTGCTACTCGAAATAACACCACAAAGCGAAAATTTCCATCAGTGATCGTGAGATCAATGGCGTCTGGAGGCCAAACATTCCCACCCCAGAAACAGGAAACTCAGCCTGGCAAAGAACATGCCATGGACCCGACTCCCCACCATTCTAGCCAGGATTATAAGCCTGCCAACAAGCTTCGGGTAATTCATTCTCTTCTTCCCTTTATTTTCATCATTTTTTATCTTTCCTCCAAGTGCAACTTCTACTATTTCCTCTATAGGCTAGTTTTAATGAGTAGTACTGTTACTTTATTCTTAATGTGAAAAATAATGAATGCGAAATGATCTGTGATACTAATTAATTTATGAAGGGCAAGGTAGCGCTTGTGACTGGAGGGGATTCTGGCATAGGACGAGCAGTCTGCCATTGCTTTGCCCTGGAGGGCGCAACCGTGGCCTTCACTTACGTTAAGTCTCAAGAAGAGAAAGATGCGCAAGACACACTTGAATTGCTAAGACAAGCCAAAGCTCCTGATGCAAAGGATCCAATGGCGGTGCCGACCGATTTAGGATTTGATGACAACTGCAAGAAGGTGGTTGATGAGGTTGTGAATTCCTATGGGAGAATTGATATTCTGGTGAACAATGCTGCAGAGCAGTACGAGGCTACCTCTGTTGAGGAGATCAATGAAGTGTTGTGTTGTTGTAGAGGACATATATTATAACGTAACATAAAAATTGGTTCCGAGAAAAATTCGGTGGTTATAGTACTGAATGACCCTTATATAAGGGATGCTGTTAAATGGGATTAATAACGTTTTGACAGAATACAAATGATGTTTTGGATGCAGGCATGCCTTGAAACACATGAAGGAAGGTAGCAGCATAATAAACACAACATCCGTGAATGCATACAAGGGGAATGCCAAGCTTCTTGATTACACTGCTACAAAGGGTGCAATAGTTGCATTTACTAGAGGACTTGCTCTTCAGCTTGTTGAGAGGGGAATACGTGTTAATGGCGTTGCCCCTGGTCCAATTTGGACACCACTGATTCCGGCTTCGTTTACTGAAGAGGAATGTGCGAATTTTGGGAAACAAGTGCCAATGAAGAGGGCTGGTCAGCCTATAGAGGTGGCCCCTTCGTATGTTTTCCTGGCTTCTATCCCTGAATCCTCCTATATAACTGGCCAAGTCATTCACCCGAATGGTAACTTGAACTTTTACATAGCCAAGCTCTGCATTGTTATGTTTAATATAGGTTCCATTAGATTGGGGTCTAAAATTTGTTTTGTTGGCTTTGCAGGCGGGACCATTGTCAATGCTTAAAGCCTCTTTGGGAGTCTTTTTGTCTGTTTCATGGAAAGCTGGGATCTGTTTTGTGATAGTTTTAAATAGTGTACGAAGTATGTGTTGTATGTTTTGTACCATGGTTCTAGAGTGGCATCAATAAAATAATACTCCACTTCTCTCTTCAAGATACTCTCTTTTGCCTCTATCTGTGTCTATGTTGGAGGTTCGCTTAAAACAAGGTTCTGCTACTGTTAAATATGGTCTGGGCGAAACTGATAGCAACCATAAATAGACGAAGGAGCTAAGGACTAGGAAAATTTAGCAACTACATAAAAATATTAAATAGGAGAAACGTCCAAGAACTAAAAAACTTCGGAATTATAATTAGTGTGGCCGTGTCCTTCGAACCATCAAAACCAGGAATCTTCTTATTACCATTGCTGTTTATGACAAAAGAAGGAAAAAAGAAGAACAAGAAATGAGAGAGCGAGTATAAATTTGTTTTCTACAATTGCCCCAAGTTCTAAGACCAGAACTGTAACAAGTCGATGGCAGGGTTTTGATGCTTCTTAGATTGCGAGTGGTCACAAGCTGGCACCTCCATATCTATATTCAAGAATGCAGATAAAGATCTTATGACAAACTGCCGCCTCTGGGTATTACAATCAGGAAGTGCCACTAAATAAAATCTCCACGCCATTTCCACCAATTCCAGCAAGCAGGCACTGGAATCCGCACGTTTCTAACTCAGCTATCACTTTATCAACAACTGTTCCTGACAGAACTGGAAATTGTCGTCAAGGAAAGTTGAAAGAGACTAAGACCAAATGTGGGGAACTCGGCCGCAAGTCTCATACAAAGCACATGATATATGCTAATCTATGGGGAAGACTATTATGTGTCTAGTTGGTTTTTCAGAGGGGTCAAAGACCAAGTGTATCAGCAAAGAAAAGATGGATATAAAACACCTGCAGAAAACGAACAATTTGACAAACAGTTGGACACAAAGGATGTGAGATGGTGAGTAGGTGTAGAAGCAAATATCATATATTCCTGACCTTCCTTAGGTCAAGGCAAGGAATGCAATTATACTTTCAGATAAGATATTGGTTGCACAAGCTTTTGCTTATGCCACCATGTAAAGCAACGCTAGTGATAAATAATGTTGTCCATCTCTGTCTCAGTACAAACAAAGCTGACTCATAGTATCAAGTTCAGACACACTTGAACATAGGTCATATTTTCTAGGTATATAGGGATCTGTCCTAGTGAATAACTGTTTTACCCTTTCAGAGTAATGTTCAGGGACTCAAACTTTATGTGTATGCATGAACTTCATCAGTAATGACAGAAACCCATGTATATTAATGAAAAACAGTATGACGAGGCCATCAGCCAATGCAGAGCATTTATGCAGCCCAGATAAAGCAGATGGAGTGTAAAGGTAAAATGAAAATGATGAAAAGCCATATCCTGGAGCAATTAAGTCTCTAACGCCAAAAATATCAATAATGAATGGAGATACCATATAAAAAGCACATTCTGAATAGAAAGCATTTATAAGAAGGAAGATAAATGAAAGGATACGGGTTGGTAATAATGTCAAAACACAGCCTCCACCACCAGCACCAGTTAACTTGGAAGATAGTTTGTACTTTAGAGTTGTTCGAAGAACAGTTTCTATAGAAGCATGGCTAACACCCATGCACTGAAGCAATCCTTGGTTCATCTCCATCAACTCTTCCAGTTTCTCTTCTTTCTCAGTTATGGCTAGATCATCCGGGACAGGTGATTGAATAATTGCAGCCACTTCGCTGCTGATAGAATCCACTGCAGTAAAAACAGAAGCCATAGCAGTCGGATGCCTCAAGGTCCTTTCTGAGACGCTAGCTACCAATGCCTTCGTATTTCTCCCGACCTTTGTGTTAGTTATCAGCATTTTAAGTGGCATGTTTGTTTTGAGGCGTGTCAAATTGCCTGACTTAAACTTGATCATGTTTCCTGTAAGTAAATTTTATAGGTTGTGAAGTTATTGAAATACTGACATATCCTTCCATAGAGTATCTGAAAGTTAGAAGTACTCTATATTTCTTAACAATAGAAGAAAAATCTACCATGGAAAATAATTTAGGCACATTCATTTACAGATACCTTGGTGTTGGAAGGAGGAACAGAAGGGCAAGTGACTATCCAAACGGACCAAGCCACATCGCCCAAAAAAAACACATAAAAGGAGAAGAATGTCAAAATCAAGATTAATTTTTATATATTGCCCCATGCAATGTGAGTCCAAATGAAAAGTTAATTATCTCTCAAGTAGTAAGACCTATTTTCGGTGGACATCAGTCTTGCTTCAAGTTACTTTCTCTGTTACTAAGGGAAGGGCTTAATGTTTACACCGTCTCCAGTCCTTGTTTGATTCTGGTCCGATGAGGACAAACTTCTCTCATTTCTGGCACTATCACAGATATAGTTTTCAAGTAAACAATGAAGATGATTTTTAACAAATATCTGAGACACCTAGAGAGATTTAGAGTTACTTATATAGAAGATAATATAAGTGTTGCTAACCTAAGATAGTTAAATCCATAATTAAGCTCACTAATTCCTCATAGATCACTAATGATACCTCTTTATGTTGTTCGGACTCTCCGAAAATGTAGCCGGGTGAGTGTCGGATCCTCCAAAAGTAGCGCATTTTTGGAGGATCCGACACGGGGTGCAGCATCACTTTGGAGAGTGTGCACAAATTCATATCAAGGTTCCAAAAGCATAATTAGTTTCACAGTACAACTGTTTGAAGTAGATGATCTAGACGAATAGAAAGCAAATTTTACAAAAAGGTAGGAGAACACAGAAAACTTTCTGCTGGTCTAACATAGGGAAGAAATATTTTAAACAAGCCTAATGAATTCTTTTGTGATAAATGCAATTCCCCTTTGATTAAGCTGTTATTCTGGAGTCATTTTAAGGTGACTAGACAGATATAAACTGAAAAGTCTTTTAGTGGACTATGGTCTTACTATTTTTAATCTAAAGTATAATGTTTAATTTTGGGAAGCTTTCAAGTTAATCGCGTGCTTTTTCTTCTTACCGGCATCCACAATTTCTTTAAGATATCTTCTTTTATTTTGATAAATGCTTCTTAACTCCAAATTCATACCCATTTCTCACTTCTCAATCACAAATTAGCATATACATTTTACCCGATTAAGCAAAAGGTTGCGATATTTCCCTGCGTTAATGCTCCTTTTTCAGCTTGACTTGGATGTTCTTTCTTTGTTCAGTGATTGCTAAACATATCATAAAACGAAAAAAGATATAGTAACTATGGCTATCGTCACATACCATACGTGCTCACTGTGTTGTCAATACCAGATGGCTTCCCATGAATTATTTTCTCTCCCTCGAAAGCCCATTTATTCACCAATTCCAGCTCATTCTCTCCAAATACTTGCCAACCTTGGTGGCTGAAATCCATAGTTACTGAATCTGACAATGCAAGAATGGCCGCGGAGAGTGCAACACAGAAAGCTGCAGACGAACCCAAGCCTGATCCCAGTGGAAGCTCAGAAGAGACTACTGCTTTTGCTGGTTTGCATCTAATCAGGCAATTACAGAGAAAGACAATGTGATAATATGAAGTCTGTTTTAAGAATATCAAGAGGTCAAGTAAAGGGAATTGAAGTTAATACCCATGAATTGAGGTGAACAGCCAAAGAAACGCTGTGACACCAGCAGCGAGGCCTATCTTTGCCTCAGGAATGTTGTGCTCATCAACCAGAGAAGCAATTAATTTAAGAGTCTCTAGTGAGCACGAGGAAGGTGGAATCTGAGTTTCCGAGTTTGGAAAAGCCTCTTTAATTCTTGCAACTGGCCAGGAAAATTCTAATGACACATCCTTAAGCTGGAGGGTTAATGTTTCGTCATTATCTATTTCCCAAGAAATTAAGAAGAAAAGAAACACATTAGTGAATAACTAAATGAAGAAGCCAGTAAACATACTAGGCTTATCATGAAAAGGAAACAACAGTTTGGGTAAAAGCAATGTTTTCCTTTTATCGTACAAAGAAAAATAATCTGCCTAGACTAGTAAAAGTTGAAGTTTAACAAATTTATCATATTTCTCAGACTGCTATCTTGGTTCATCCATTTTTAAGATAGATCTAGCATACACCACAAATCCTAGAGGTCAGTTTGAACTCCAGATAGATCTCATCTCAATATCAAAGCAGGGCAGGAAACAATGAGCATAACAAGATAAATCAACCAATCAGCCGGTCCCATTAATAACCAAAAGCCTAAAATTCAATGGTCATTATACATTCACAGACACTTAATTATATAATTATACATTTTTACGAAACTCAATGTCTCTTTTGAAAAATCATTTTCTGGATCATTTTCCAGTGACAAGATGAAGATAAGGGTAAAACCGAAGAGCGTTACTATCAAATGTCAACTAGCAGGCCGGAATACTCTACCAACACATATTTAGCTCAATAAAAGCCTCAAACACATTATTTGTTTCGGAATTATGAAATTAAGCAACCTCAATATGGAATTATAGGCAGCAAATTAGATTCAGAATCATAATTACAGTATAATAAATAAATGTAAATTGAGGAATGTAATATATATACCAGCGGGAGTAGGGAAGCGAAGGGAGACGTAAGTGTAGAGATCGATGGAGGCGGCGACGGCAGCTGATCCGTGAACCACAGCATGTTCTCCAGCCAATATTATTTTCCCGGGGGCTCTTGCTCTCACCTCCATTTTCTCTCTCCCTTTTTCTGTTAGTCCAGATACGAAACTGTGCCTATATATAGGTCTACCTGTGTGTGATGGTCTAGAGTCAGAAGAAGACTGCGGTTGGTCGAGAGTGGCTGCTGCAGCTGAATGCTGACTGCTGGACTGCTCGAGTGTTGCCTACCTTGATGGTTAGTTATGGCGGAAAATATTATTAGAAAGGTCGATTTATGCACAAATTTCCTTTTGATTCCTCCTTTTGGTGTTAAAAAAATATTCCTCCTTTTGTTTGTTTCTGACACCCCTTACCAAATCACTCTCATCATGGACGGGTGGTTGGAGTCACTAAATTATATTTATCGTATGGAGAATATTAATAATAATCATCATATATACAATTAAATATTTAATAAATTTGTTAATATATCTATAAGATCTAATTAAAAGTTATTGCATTCTCATGATGTAGATTTGCCCTAGTGCTTTTTTTCCTAAAAAATCCTGATCAACTAATCATATTATAAATCATGGTGCGCTCTGATAATTGCTTCTGTTGCCAAACTTGGGCAATTGGCCGACTAAGTGGAATATTGATAGATACTTCGTAAAACGCCATCTATTTGGACTGTTGCCGCCTGCCATATAGGGCTATCAAAGTCATGTGACATGAATCATATTGAAGCCTGCCAATCATGCTTCTTTAACCTTTTATGTATCTCTTGCTTTAACACATAAAAATTATGCGAATGTTTAGTAACATGAAATGATAAAAATGATGGAAATGTATTCAGAGTCGATTGAAAAATTGTTATAGTGGAACTTAAACGAATCGAAGAAGAACTACATATGAGCTATACATGTGCAAGAACTACATATGAGCTATACATATGTGCAGGCTTGCACTAATTTTAGCCTGCACTAATTTAAATCGATATCTCTAGTTGTATGATAGAGGCAAAATTTTGAACTTGAAGTTTTTAAGCAAGCTAATCTCGGAAGTAAATCTGGAACTGTGGATTTGAGATTATCCAGGGTTGACAAACCGCGCACCAGCTAAAATCTGGCAAATGAGGTGAACTTATTATCCTTAACATTCAAGGACAGTATTCTATTCATTTCCATCAGAATCCTCATCAAAGAAGTACAAATAGGGAACTAAAGGGCCTTGTTCAACTGGTTCTCCTATCTCACCCTCCTCGATCTTTTCAGTAGTTTTCCAACCCAAATGTTGAATATAAACACTATCAAAAGCATCAATAGTCAAAGATGAAGCTAGAAACAGTTCTAACTCATTCACAAATCGATCAGTTCGACCAGTTAGAAAAGGTCTTGCTGCTTCAGATACCATGATCTTGAACTCTTCTTGCTTTGTTTGTGGAGCATCTTTTATTTGCTTTGGCTCGTTTCTGCAACATTAACAGCTGTCTAAGCATTCATGTTACACTGAAAATGTATAATGAAGATCAATCAAGTGAACATGAGAACAATAACACAATATTATTAGGTAACTAATTTTCAAGAACATGTCATTTGGTTTTCCCAAAGAGGTGAAAGCAAACAAAGAGGTTAGCTTGACGTTGGCGAGTTCAATGCATGCAAATTATCAACAATTTACTTTAAACATTACCTTCTAAATGAATCAATCACACCAAGTATATGATGTACAATAATATCTACATCTTCTTCCTGCATGACGCGGAAAAGAATTACTTAGCAGAAATGTCATAAACTAACGTTTTGTGATGTTACAAGGATGAGCGAATTATTGAATTATCAATTTAATATTAGTATGTACCTAGTCAAACTATGATGTATTGTTGCCGCAATGAAAATGACATAATCAAGTAATCAACAAAGTTCTCCATGATTCCCATTTTACAATTTTTATGCACAATCAAGGAAAGAAGGTTAGAATAAGTGGTATTTTAGCCAATTCGTAATGTTTACATATCATTTTATGAGAAATTGGGACCAAAATGGCATCAATTTATGTTGAATTTTTTTAATAAGCTCTCATGGTTGCAATTTTCACTATTTGTGGAGGGAAATAGGCATATAGGAAGTCAGTTGCCTAAGATGAGAAACAGGTTGTTGGTGACAACTAACAAGAAGCTTTTCCACGGATCAGACTAGGGATTGTAGGCAGATGTACCCCTACATTGCAGAGATTATTAAATCCCAGTGACTTCAACCTCTGACTCTGAGTGGAAACATTGTCCAGTTACACCAAGATTCACTTCAACTTAGGCAGATGTTCCTCTACATTGTAGAGATTATTAAATCCCATCTGACTCTTAGTGGAAAATTGTCCAGTTATACCAAGATTCACTTCAACTTAAGACTAACTAAAGATTGACTAAGAAATACCCACGGGCATGCCGGTTTTGTGGACAGTTTCCTATTGGTTGCAAATTGGTACTCTTTCAACCTTACAGAGAATCCAAAAAACTTGTTCATTCTGGAAATAAAAGAGTTTTCACCTCCATACTTCACTATAAACACAGGCAAAGAACGTAAGAAACAGGTTAGCACACAATAATAATCAGTAAGTTTTTTCTCTCGGAATCATTAAATATGCTTCTCATTTTTGTTATCCAAAGGATCATTGTCTTTATTGACCATCATAATCAAAAGCTAATAAGAGATTGAGTTAGAAGTGCATCTATACTGAAGATTACAACATTTAAACAATGAAAATGATAAGTGAAGGACCTGTGTCACAGCCTGGATTTCCCTTCTCAACCAACTTATAAGCCAAGGATTAGGCTGCAGATACTTGCACAACTTCCAATAACGTGGCACATTGAATTTGTCAAATAAGCCCCCTGCAGAACTACCAATCTTATGTTCTTGGAAGCAAGGATATCCACTAGAAATGGATAATATGCAAATCAGTGATGGAAAGCACTCTACCTTCATTAGTATAGTAGCACTGAAATCTATACTTGTGAGCTTTTGTGAAGAACATACTGGAATACAAATGTCAAACAGTAAGTTAATTTAGAATAGTAAAAAACAAAGGGAGAATATACAAAGCAGAAGAAGTATAGAGGACTTTGCTACCTATTGTCCAAGTTTTCATTCACATAATGTTGTTGAAAAAACCTTCCACCATAGCTCCTTATAATAGAAAAATTCTCTGTCTGCATAAAGAAGAGCGTTGAGTTGAAAGAAACAAAATCTAGCATAATTTCAACGGAGAAGGGTCAAAATTATCCTTCTACTATGCGAAAAGGATCATTTATACCCTCCGTTATACTATCAGTCCACAATTGTCCCCGACGTTACAGAATTAGGACAAAAATACCCCTCTTAGGGCTCTCCACCATGCCAATACCATCCCACATGACCTAACATTTTGCTAAGGTGGAAGCCACATCACGCACCAACCCAATTTTACCCCCTTCCCCAAATTTTTCCTCCAAACCACCTCTTCCTTCATCTAACCGGATATATCGAATTTGGGGCATATAATCCGAGGAAGGGAATGCATACTTTATTTGGTTTACAAGCTTGGGTTTCCAGCAGAGGATGAGAAAAATGAACCCACAAGGGAAGTTGAACATAAATCGAGAAGAGTCATTTTTTATTTAGATCAAGAACTGGATCAAAATGGAAGCGGATTGTAGTTTAGGGAGACTTCAGAATACGGCATTTCCGACACATACAAGGTGAATGTTGGCAGCTCATATACCATCCTGCAGACCCTCCGATGATGATCGATGAATATATAACTATATAAGAAGGATTTTATCTTTGAACTACTCCATTAAAGACAAACGGAATATATATAACTCCTTTTCTTTGGATTAAATACCGCTAAGTATAATCATATAACTTTATGGAATCACCATAAAAAGTTATATTCTCATCTAATTCAAAGACCAAAAAGTAAAATAGCAAATGGATATCAATCATAAGTTTGTTATGCTTCAAAACATAGTCGGTTTGAATCGAGTAATGTGACTGACTGCCAACACTAAGTAGCCAACCATTTGGTAAGCCATTCTTTCTCATTCCAGCTTGTTGTTTCAACACATTATCAAGAGAAGAAGAAATTTGAATAAAATAACAATTAAAAAATCTAAAGACTACAATATATATTAACAAGAAGAAGCAAAATGGGGTTCTGAGACAGATACATACTGCAAAATAAAAATCAATTTGCAATTATATTTCACTTCCAAAAAATTTGGGAAATACAATCTTGACAAATAAGTAAAAAAGAGTTCAGCGTAGTGAATGGTTAGGTGAAGAGGGAAGTGGTATTGGAGGAAAAATTGGGGGAAGGGGGATAAAATTGGATTGGTGCGCTGAAGTGGCATCCCATGTGGCTTCCACCTTAGCAAAATGTCAAGCCATGTGGGATAGTATTGGCCATGGTCAGTGTTAAAAAAAGCCCGCTTCCTCGCTTTAAGAGAGAAGCGAAGCGGAGCGATGGGTTGGTCGCTACCCCAACTAAAAGCGGCTCAGGTACAGAAAAGCGACCACTTCTCTCTAAAAAGCGAGAAGCGATGAAGCGGTCGGGGGCGGAAGAAGCGATCGCTTCTTGAATTAAAAGGCCCAAACGAGTCTTTTTCAATTAAAAGACCCAAATCGTTGAGTCTTCTGTTTTAGACACTTCTTCAGCAGCAAACTAGGGTTCTAAACCAGCCTTTTCTTCCTCAAAAACAGCTTTCAAGTTTCAACAGATATGTTTTTATTTTCATTCTTCTTCTTCTTTCTTCTTCTTCTTTTTCTTTCTAAACGTCCAAAAAGCGCCGAAATGCTGGCGAATTTTTTTCAGAAAAATTTTGCCCCGTTTCTGCCCAATTTCTGCCCAATTATATATTTTTTATTCTTAGTTCTTATTGCCTTTCTCATTTTGTGCTTTAATTGATGCTACTCTTTAGTTTTTTAATTCAAATATTGAACATTTGCTTACAATTACATGTGTTGTTTATGCCGTATTTATTTTAATTTTTTTTTTTTAAATTCCGCTTCACTTCAAAAAAGCGAGCGCTTCGCTTCTCGCTTCTCGCTTCTCGCTTTTCGTGAAATGAGGGTTGTCGCTTTTTCTCGCTTCACGCTATTTTTAACACTGGCCATGGTGGAGTGCCCTAACGGCAGAGGAGTATTTTTGTACTAATTTTGTAACGTCTAGTGCAATTGTGGACTAATAGTATAACGGAGGATATAAATTTTCATTTTCGCATAGTAGAAGGGTATTTTTTACCCTTCTCCGTAATTTTAAATTAATAATAGAAGAATGAGAATTTTTTGTAAGTTATTAGAAGAGTCAGAAATATAGCGTGATTTCAATTTACATCAAAAGCACAAGTGTAATAAATATAGAATCCTCTGGCAAAGCAACATGAAAATGTATCACTTTGCTAACTATATCTATTGTATAGTGCTTGCCTCTTAATGAGAAAGTTACTGGTTGACGAGATGCATGCCTAGCAGGTTAGCTCAGAGAAATGCAAGGCACGTAACTTGAGCTTCATCGAGCTTTTAACAACATTACTGCTTGTAATGGTCAATTTCATGTCTTTTTGTGCCTCCTTTATGTTTTGGACAAAATGTTGACACAGTACATCAAAGATCAGATAAAAGAAAAAAGAATCCATGTCAATTTCATTTCAATTCCCAGATACATAACATTTTCCCCACCAATAAAATTTACACAAGCTACTCAAAAACATTCAACAGGCAAACAAAAGTCAACACAGAGTTCTAAAGAGACCAATATCTGATTAAGTTCAGAAAACATTTACAAACAAATTGCATATATTCACACATCTATGATCTATCCACTTTGGTATATCCATACTGTGTTCAAGGCTCCGTGACGACTCTTCAGATCAAGCAAAAAGTTTGTAAGACCAAATATGTAATCCCATGGTCTTGACCTCACAAGTGTGACACACTATTAAAGTACTGGAATCCTCTCAAATCCATCTTAGCAGAAAACGTTTCATTTTTCTAGAAGTAACTGCAAAGTTAAAGCACTCTCACGTGAAAGGCGTGGCATCTAAGGGGAATCATGTCATTGCTAATAGTAGTTCATCAATCAATGCCCAAAAAAATTTAGTTACACCAATAACAGTAAACTGCTACCCATTCTTGAGAGGATCTACGTTAGAAGAAATAGGAACCAACAAAAATGATTAAACAAGTTCGGACCTTACATAAAGGACACTTTACTGAAGCAGGTGCACGAGACTGCTTGCTTTTAACCACTTTTGTCCAACGCAGAATACAATTGTAGCAAAATTTGTCTGCAGAAATAACATGATGTCTTAAGCACCTAATAACTGATTTATTTAGAAACAATCCATACATAGCTTTCTTCCACAACTTATACACTTCACAATTACTTAGCAAAATGCCACTTATTAATAATTATGCAAAAAGGGCCAAAGTATATGAAAGGTACTCCCTAAATTAGAGCTTAAAACTTATGAAATTGCATCTTAACAATGACTGTTTGCTTATAAACTACAGGAAGATATGTGTAAAACTAAAAAGAAAGGAGGCGTACGGAAACATTGATCCAAGTAGGACTCTTCAGTAACTGGGGCAAGACAAATAGGGCACGGGTTTGGGTCGGAGGCCGGTTGCTCCGCCGCGTTTCCTCCGTCTTCAGCCATGGACAACTGCCAAAATCTATTCGGAAAAGAACTCCTCCAATTTATTCCTTTTTATTTTTCTTTGTTTCTAACTAACCCAAACCCCTCACCGCGCCCTCAACAAGTATTGTTGAATGTATCAATTTTAAGTTATATATATATATATGTGTGTTCCAACAAATACCACATCACTTGTTAGAAAAAGAAAAAAAAAATTAAGATCCATTTCATTTTATGTGAGGTCATGAAGTTTAAAAAAAATTTAAAAATAACTTTTAAGCTAGTGATTTTAAATATGATAATGGTTAAATAATATATTTTTAGCTCTAAAATCATGTCAGAATAAGTAAATTATTTTTAAGTAGTATGTCATTTTTTTGAGAAGATATAAACAAGAAAAAATGACACATAAAATGAAACAAACGTAGTACTTTGTACATTTTAAGTTAAACGAAGGGTGATAAATTAAATGGCCTTATATACAAACAATAGTAGAAATCTGAATATTTTAGTTAAGACGTTTGGTTGGTAATTCTGTAGTGTCCCACTACAAAAATATGACATGTTAGCTCCCAATTAAAATTATATGAAAAGGGGATATTTTATGATAGCGTGAAACATGGCCAATATTAAAAGTTTCTTTGAATCATAATAGTGATATGGTAGGATGGACACATTGTCCATCTGTTGACCTATTACAAGTGTTTTTATGATATAGCTATTGCGTATTTGAATTTAACTCCGCACTTTGAACGCCTTTTCGCAAGATAAGTCCGCACCTAAAGGCTGATTAACCAAAAAAAAACTTGGAAATTTTTTTAAGCTTCATAAATGAAGATTACAATGATCAGAATCAAGGAACCAGATCCGTAACAGACATGAAACATAACGAACTAACAAAAAACAGATATCTTGGTTTGCCTTTGAAGTTCCATCCTACATTGCTTCAGTTCACCAACTTGAGCCTTTAACATCTCAACCTCTTGTTTCATCACATCCATTTCATTTTTGGAAGAATTCATCCAACTCTTGCCTACACCTTTGCTGACTTTCATTATGGTCTCTGACTTAGTCCGTTGGTAACTTGAGCCAGCTGAAGTCAGTAATCTTGTCATATTGATCTGTTCAACAAGTATAAATTGTGTCCTGATATTATCCGGCAGCCTATCGTTCTTCATGGCATGTGTTCGCGCTTCCTGTGATAGCTTATGGTACTCCAGTTTTCTGCATATACTGCTTCTTTCTTCTTCTGTTAGGTCAGGATGTTCCTGCAAGAAAACCATTTAATTTCCATGAATCGAACTCTGAACCAATTTTTTGAGTTTGGAGGAAAAGAGAATACATTATGCATACCTTTAGGTACATGTCTATTGACCTATATAGGTTGTCATCACAAGATCGTGCTTCTTTTGGCAATGCATTTACAAGAGAGTAAAAGCTTCTCGCTACAAGGTTTGCGTCCCTTGATACGAGGGCGAGGTAATCGTCTACTAGCCTCCCGACAAGAGACATTTTTGAGTTGGGATTATTTGATGCAAGCGAGACATAAGCTTCTACCACTTCAATAACAATGTCCACGTCGAAAAGAGTTGTGCTGTTCCTGACTAGAAGGTCTTTAGCACTACAGCTTTCCAACAAGAAAGCTACTCTTGTTTTGAGTTGATCTTGTAATCTTGGACCAATATTCATAATAAGCCCAATCTTGAAAAGGTGAAGCAGAAAATTGCAGGGAACTGAGTTTTCTTCAATAGGAAGTACCCTTATCAAACATTCAGTTGTTACTCTGTGTAGTTGGATGGACAATTCTTGATCTTTTGATTTCTGCTTTGAAACTGTGATTTGAGAAATCCACTTCTTTGTCCAGTGAGCTATACATGACCCTATAAGCTCTGGCTTAATGTTTCTCTTTTTGATCAATGTAATTACTTCGACAAAATGATCTATTCTTAGGGATGCAACATCCTTGAAAAACCAATTTCCGCTCAACTTTTTGACATTTAACTTGGTCGTATCATTGGTCATAGCATTCACCAAAACTTCACTGTCTTCTATACTACTCGCGCTAGTTTCTGAGCAGGCTTTCCAAGAAATGGCTTCCGAGCAACGCTTGACAATGTGCAAGTCTTTAGACCAAGAAGAAACTGATTCACAGCTTTTCAAGATCCTAAATGTGTCTTTCCACGACGAAAGGATTACATAACTCAGGAATGCCTCAGTTTTAGAAATTAAATTTCCGTGGTGAAGATCATCATGCATTTCCAAGAAATGAGCAGCACAATACAGTGGCGCGACATTTGAAGCTGTAGCTTTGATCTTCAGTCCATAGCAAAATTTCACTACTAATTCAAAGATATTAGCCCCACCGGGGATTGCATCAATCTGAATTGTAGTAATGTTGTCCCCATTCCTATGAAATACCAATCTGTTAATGTATCCACTTCTTGAAACCATGGAGAGCTGCAAAATGAAAAGATTGACTGAAAAAAGGTTCCACAGAAAGCATATTTATACTTTGTATAACAAATTTTACCTCTAATATGCCTATATATTGGCTTTAAAAAAAAAGGGAAACATCAGCCATAAAACATGTTGTTGGGTCTCAATCAGCCTATAGATGCTCTTAACACGGCGTAATATTATCCACTTTGGGTCAAGCCGGATGGTTTTCCCCCAAAGGCCTCAGCTCGTAAGGATAAGTAAATTGAGCCCCGCATACAACCAATATATATAGATCTCAAGTAGTCTCCAAACCAATATGAGAATGGATTTTGTGCTATTCTTCTTATCTCTGCTTCTGCCCCGAGCACTATGCTTAGCCGAACCTCGTTAAATCCTTATGTTATTGTTATTTTCTCTATTTTCTTTGTGTGTGATTGTGTGCTAGTTAACCTACGATCTTCCGCAACAAAACAAGGAGAAAGCTAAAAGATGGTTTGATTTTGAAATTTATCTAATATGCAGTTCGGACATTGGAATTTTTCCTCTCAATTAGAGAAATGGACAGTGTAGGTAGCTGTTACCTTATGCAAGTGGAAGCTTTTGTCTTTAATTTGTACTATCAAATCACTTGGAATTCTTGTCTGGACAAACCTGCACTAGTGTTGTTACATTCATTAGCCACTGCAGAGGAATAAAATTAAAATCAGTATGACTTGAGACAAACAAAAAAAATATGTAATTTACCAGTTCTTGTTTCTTCTTTCCACAGACTCTGCCACCATACTGCCATTGGCTGGATAAATGACACAGTGATTTCTCTTCTCCACAAATATTGATCCACCAGTTACTAGATTTTCTTTCACCATATTTTCAGCACCTAATACTACTTACTAGCCCTTTAGTTTTCTGTATTCTGAACTATACACTTTTTTCTTCTTTGCAATATTATATAGTCCCATCACCAAGACAAAAGCGAAGACTGGCCATAATTTTTAGTCTAAGAAGATATTATGTCCCTTTCACGCATTGAATTTAACAGAGTGTTAATTACTTTAGGAACCACTCTTACTTTTAATCCTCTGGAAAACAATCATTCTCTTCCCAAATTAATGAGTAATGCACTTGACTCGAAAGAAAAGTTTACCTGCTAAACACAGTGTTAACAGTTAACACTCATATGAGATCAACGGTACTTATGGGTGTCTTTTCCCTATTTTTCTAATGACCATTATCAAATCCATCTATTGTTGTATGATTTACTGTCACTGACAACATCTCCAACCCTAACACCAAAATGCTGTAACACCAAATTTATTCCAACCATTACATCATTTTTTACACCAAAAAAAGAATATTTCTTCTCTCTCTTCTATATTATATTATTATTGTTATAAAATAATAAAAGAAGAAGAAAAGTATTGCAAAGAAAAGTAGGGAGATAGAATTCTTATTGATATGGGATGAATTACAATGGAATAGAACCCTCTATTTATAGGGAGATGGTGACTTAGCCACCAAGTAATAAACCCTAGAATCTCTCTAAATATGGACATTTACCATAAATAGGATTCTATTTATAACACTCCCCCTGAATGTCTATTCAACAGATAATGTGCCTCGTTAAAACCTTAACTAAAAGAAAACCCAATGGGAAAAAAATTCTAGAAAAGGAAAAAGAGTACACATGTTTAGAAATGCGCTTATTGGTTGCCTCGTTAAAAACCTTGCAAGGAAAATCCAGTGGGACAAAACCTTGTAAGGGAAAAAGAGTATAACACGCATTAACTCCCCCTGATGAGAGCATCAATTCACATCTTTAAGCATTTGCATTCCAATCTTGTGCACCATCTTCAAAAGATCTTTGGTAGAGATTTGATAAACAAATCAGCCATATTAACTTGAATGAATATATTGCACCTTGAAATCATCATTCTTGATAGAGATATAATGTCTTCATAAATATCGTAGAATGGCTCTTCAATATCTCCATAGAGGTATCCTCGCTATCACATTATCATGCTTATAGTTATAGCAAGATACATTTGTGCATAAATTGCATTGAGGATATGGTACTTCATGACCATGAATTCTATGTTCTTTAAGCAATTTAAATCCTTCAGGGATTGTTAAGTCATATAAGCCATATAACAGACTTTAGATGCATATCAAGTTTTCATGTCATGCTAGACATATAAGATATCGAAAACTGATTGCACATACCATTGACTTTGTACTTTCAAGTGTTTGAACTGCAAGTCCAAAACTACATGTCTTTCATATGAAACCAATTCTACTTGAATTGTTTCTCTTGACTTAAGATCCTCATATATATATATATATATATATATATTTTCGTCGACAAACATTTTATATCGGTTCCAACCTCCTTATTTTTCATAAAGACATAACATAGAGATCTCTTCATTCATATATTCAGGTACCTGAATCTCTCATGAGATATTATGAAGTGTTATGTCATGTGATCTTCTAGATCACCTGCCTCCTTTACTGTGATCATTTTGATCATTTGCTCACCTTATTTATCAAGAAGTTTATTTGAAACCGATCTGTCTATACGCTTTAAACGTACCATAGATTTTGTCCTTCTAGGACTTAACATGAGCATTTGCATTGAGAATATAGTTACTTTCTTTAGGTCAGCAAATGCGTCTGGCATGCTTTGCGATAAATTGCACATGAATTATCCTTTTATGAACTTCAAGTTCATATTATTTTATTCGAGGATCTAGATGTACAAATGATAATTCATTCCACGTAACTTTTTCTCAATTGTTTATCATGTCTCCCCCTCATGTTAGAAAAACTAACTTGTTTTCTCAACTTTGAGAACTCATCTTTGTGCGTTATGGTGTTAATCAAAATATACACCGCACATCAATAATAATAAGATGGAATTATTTGGTTCCTCACCCTGAACCACTTGTGAGGGGAGAAAATAATATACTTTCGTATATAACGTATATCAAACTGATATAGATAACTTTGTTCTCATAAGTAATTGTTTAGCTATTAAGTGGAGGCACTCAATAAATCATTTTGCTAAACCAGCTGTGATGTAGACCAACTTATCAAGATGAACTTCTTGAATAGAAAATCTGGAATATGCTCTAAATTAAATTATTGAGCAAGTTACCTCGCACACAACGGCCAGGTTGCGGGTTAATAATAATTGCACATGTAACCATCTCATAGATGCATCTTATGTGGTATACATGGCGGGTGAATGGGCCCATATTCACCTTTGATATTTCCAGCATTCATGGGATTCAATCCCAATTTCAGTTGATCTATTAATTAATAAGAACAAGCAATGTAAGAGAATTCGTAAAGAACTTTCTAGTTCTTTAATATTTACCCATGTGAATTCTCTATTATTTTTGCACATCATACTTAAATTGGTATGGCTAAACCAATTATGCCAACTGAATAAATTATCAATATTGATAAACTTCAGATTTACACCATGACTTGTGCAATTATCAATAAACTCCAAGTTTATTATGATATGGGTTTTTATATCAATAGACATCCACTTTATTGTGATATTCTTTTATTTGTGTAGTACAAACTGGAGAATAAAACGGGTTGCTTTTCACATACATATTATCCCGCTACAAGTTGTAGTAATAGAAGATATTAAATCTTTCCTTTATTTATAGTCTCAATATAATCAACCGCTTTCGCGTATACTTTGGAAACTGAATAAGTTTCTTTGAGACTTACTACAACACAATACCTTATTGGTAATCAATTGTGTTTCTCCAAAATAGTAATAATTGGCTCTTCCAGAGCTCTCAATTAATTTGGTACTACCACATATTCATCAACATCCATATGGTGAATATCTCTTTTAAAGAGAAAGTTATACCATTATCGGTATGGTCAAAATTATATACAAGATATATTTCTTGCATTAATGTTATTCTTTAATAATCACATTACCAAAATATTTTGGCGTACAATAGGTACGTGACCAATGGCCATTCATGCCATAATAATGACATTATTTTCTTAATCATCTCAAACCTCCTTCTAGAGGTGAGCGTGGTATATTCGCTACCACTAGCACGTTCATATTCTTCCAAGAATGAATATGTATTTATAAATCAGATGTTGTCACATTCACATCATGAATGGACCATAATCATCTATATGTGCTTTATAAAATCTCATGTCAAATCAATGACAGATATTACTTTCACAGAGTGAAGGATTATTTTGAGAATCCTTATTATTCTCATTATCACAATGATGACGATTATAATTTCGTCTATTGCCACGTCCACATCCATTGATACCTTCACGGTAATAGTTTTGTCTTCTTTCAGACTTATCACATACTGCTATCACATTCTCTTAAGGGAATGAGAATGGAGCGAATTCAATGGGACGGGTTTTCAATTCTTTGCCCACAATCATACATGAATTTGATCATGGCGAGGCATTGAAATTTTACCACTTCGGGTGGTTATAATTTCTTACAAACTCCACTAGAGTTATAATCAAACTTTGTTGTCTTTGCTTGTATTTAAAATCAAAGTATAGAATAAAAGAGAAAAATACGGTAAAAGACTTACCTTAAATCCAAAATTTAAATCATGAAGGAAATTCATAGAACAATTGACAATCATTATGATCAATCCCAAAGCTTCTACTACAATTGGTTAGAGTATCGTGCTGATAACGTGTTGTAAAATAATAAAAGAAGAAGAAAAGTATTGCAAAGAAAAGTAGGGAGAGAGAATTCTTATTGATATGGGATGAATTACAATGGAATAGAACCCTCTATTTATAGGGAGATGGTGACTTAGCCACCAAGTAATAAACCCTAGAATCTCTCTAAATATGGACATTCACCATAAATAGGATTCTATTTATAACAATTATCTTCTATTTAATCATTCTTTTATTTCCTTCAAACAAATTCTATCTTTTTTCTTTTTTCCATATTCATCATATATTATTCACATTCACCACTTATATAATCATTTATACAATTATAATAATAATAAAATTAACTTATAATTTTATATAAATATAATATATCTATAAAAATTAATATATCAAAAAAAATAGGATATAAAATTAAAATTATAAAGATCTTAATAGAAAAATTAATTATATACACAATATATGATAAATTAAAAGTCCAAAAAAAATAAAAAATGAATAAAATAATAATAAATCAAATTTTGTGTTGATCTATTCACGCACTATAATGGTGCAAGATTTGATGTTCCATTGGAACAAAAACCAAATTTTACAAAAAAATAGTACACCCTTAGAGATGCCCTAAGGGTTTGTTTTATTACATTTCGCATTATACCTGATTATTTCGATATTAACGCTTCCTTTTAATGGACTTCCTCAAAATATCTTCTTGGTAGAGTAGATGAGAGATATAAAGTTCAAGTTGTTAAGTATAAAGGTCCATGAACAGTATATTCCACAACACTTTGTCCCAAAACTCATGAGTGGCAGTGATGTAGACAGGTGGTGAAGTGTCCAAACCCAAGTGGATGAGCTCGAATTGAAGCATTCATGTGCCTTAGAGTGACTATAGATAGCAAAACACAACTACTCATTTTAATTGCCCCAACTACTCTTACTCTCATAATACTGACCAACCACAAAAGGTGCAGGACATAGCAGTTATGACTACATATCTCGCACCGTACGCAAGAAACTGAATTGTGGCATTTTTTTTTCTTGTCTTGTGGGTTTGTGGAATTTATCGTATTCTTGTGTCAAAATTAAGTCCAAAAATCTAGCTTTTCACGTGGAGTTAGGGTATGTTGTATCTACACTGCCACCTTAAAAGAGATTAACTAGATCATAGGTAATCTGAAGTAACTTTATTTAGCAGTAACACAAGGAATTGAATATATGGTTGGCTGATTCTTTAGTTTTGTGCACTCATGCCCATCAATTTGATTAGTAAATTATTCTTTAAATCAATATTGGATCCAGTGGAAAGAAGCCTTGGAGCAACGGTAAAGCTGTTTCCGTATGATCGATAGGCCACAGTTCAAGCCGTGGAATCAACCATTAATGCTTGCATCAGGTAGGCTGCCTACTTCACCCCCTTGAGGGTGCGGCCCTTCCCCGAACCCTACATGAATGCGGGATGCTTTGTGCACTGAACTCTCCTTAATATCGGATCAGATGGCCTTATCCAAAGGCAATTGTATAGGCTAACTTGGTGTTTATTTACCTAAAGTTGCTCAACAGGGACAAATCCTGCTGAAATGCAAAGTTCTATTGCTGCTACAATATAAGTTGCTTAAATGAATACTCCAGTATAGGATCTTACATGCATACATGACATTAGAATTAGTAGAAAATATAATTGCACTTTTGAGTAGGTTTGCTCATTTTTAATAGTTTGTCATCTTATTATACATACTTGCGGAATGAGACTCGATTTGTGTAGAAGAACCTTCACGATATGTGTAGAAGAACCTATAGTAGTTCGAGGCCATAGTCATGATTTAGGAATTGACCTTGCCAAATATCAATTTGTGCCTTTCAGTCTTCAGAATGCTCTACAGTATGAATATGTCTTTCAACGGTATGCATTGTTGATGCTTTTGTGCAATTATATATTAATGATGTAGCATTTATATTTATTAGATGTAGACCTTGAATCGACACTACTACAGTCAAATCTCTCTATAACAACTTCGTTTGTTCCAAATATTTTTGGATGTTATAGCGAAGTGCTGTTATAGAGAACATATATTATAACATAACATGAAAATTGGTTCCGGAAAAACTTGACTTTTATAGTAAAGTGTTGTTATATAGGAATATTGTTATAGAAAAGTCTGACTATATTTGTAAATGAATTAAAGAATTACGAAAAATACTGCTATTTTAAAGAATCAGAATATCACATTGAAAGGCCTTGATTACTTTCTTAAGACAACGAATGATTCTATGACCTTGAGAAATAAAAAATCCATGTCGCTATGAGAATATGAGAGTCAATTGTTAAAGAGGTGGTAAAGAGTACTCCACGCAATCAGTCTTAAGTTCTTTGTTTCCCTTCATTAATGAGGTTTGATATTTTCCAAAAAAAAAAGAAAGTTGATGTTTGATATTTATGCTGACGAACATTACGTGTCATATTCATGCTCAAAGTAGTTTTATATTAAAATTTACGAAAATATTTTCTATCAAAAAGCAAAAAGTACTTTACAAATATCCCCAACTCATATTCAATCTCACTACTATGAACTGTTATCAACCTATAATATCCAAATATATCACCAAACATAATTCACATACTTTATCCTCTACCTGTACGATCACCCAATATCATATACTCTCGTACCTACCCAGACACTGAAATGTTATGAGAAATGATTTCATAAGGTAAAACATTTTTCACGAAAAATATTTTCCATGAAAACATTTTCCTCAGTAACAAAAACCAATATTTGATAAATTTCCCTTGAAATTTTTTCTTAAGTGTGGGCTCCCTGTGAGGAGAGAATGGAAAGTTTTCAATTTATTGCAAACTGCTAGACACAAGAGTACCATAGCAAACCGGTAAACAAGGACAACATACTTGGTCTTAGAATACCAAAACAAAATCCATTTTTTTGGAGGGGTAATGTGGTAGAGTGCTGAGGCAAAGCTGAAAGCGCGTATATAGCCCAGATTCTGGGCACACAATCTTTCCCTACTGACTACTGTAGAAGTGGCCTAGTTCGGTTAGCCCTGACCTTAGTAAGTCTTAACAATGGAAAGAACAAGAAGACGTACACACAAGAACTAAAGCATGATGCAAAATAAGCCTTAAAGCTGCACAGAGGTCCTGGAATCAACTGCAGCATTGTTCCTGGTCTTCTCAAATTTAGCTTTTCTCTCCTACCATCTACAAGCAAAACAGAGAATTAATTTCAGGAAAAGAGACATTTACGTAATAGTGATTAATGATGTAGAATAATTATTTCAAAATACAAAGCAATATAAAGCTCAACATTAAACAATATGCTTAAAGACCAAAAATAATGCAGAATGATTGTTCATAGATCAAGAAGCTAAATATCGAAATTACATAATCGGTTCTGATATAATAATGGTCAATGTGATAGTTAGTATTTGACTTATATGAAAGCGGGGAACGGCACAGACACAACTTTCACATGCAACTCCAAACAAAGTAATTTGGACTGAAGAGGTACTTACCAAGGTGAAGGATTATGATCTAAATATGTCACAGCTCCCTTAAAGGACCTGTTGTCTTTTTTTCTTCACAATTCCTTCAAATATTCCATCAGATCCAAAAACACAAGTTAAGTTTTGATGATCAATTGGTCCTGGTAGCTGGAATGAAATGGAAAATTCTCCCGGTGGGCATAGGTTCTGAGTTTGCATCTTAAAAACCATGTTGTCCCTGCAAACCATGTCCTCTCCGGTCACGCTCACCCCTTTTATGACAATTTTCCCACTAGGTCCAACATCACAGCGAAAGACCTCTGTAACCACATGAACAGGAAATCTCTTAATCATCAATTGGATTCATATAGATGCAGTTCAACATACAGATTCAACTTGGTATAAGATCACTTATGGGAAAAATAGAAAACCTTTTTGTGAAGCAAAAACAAGAGCATCCCAGTGTTATAAAGAAAAACTTGCATTAAAAGACACAAAATAATCTTGATATGAGAGAATAAAAATTTCATACGTGGAATATAACACATCCACATAAGCTAAACATAAATGTGACGCTGATGTATCAGAGAAGTATATAGATCAAAGATATGATAAGCTGGAGAGAAAACACATCCCTAAAGTAATGTCATTAGCAGACCCTGCTGATCAGATGATAGCTTCTATGGACTAACAAAACTCCAGTAGGGAGGAATTTCAAGGAGAGAGCCAGTTTATCAAGGTAGGCGAACTGAAACATTGCTTGAAACAGCAGAATGACAAAAAGGATAAGGTTCTTTCTATAGCTCATTGCACAGCTGGGAAGAAGGCATATGCAAGTAATATGTGGTCCTAGAAAGAAAGCATTTTTCCATCAGCGAAAGGAAATGATGGAAAAGAACACTAATCTACATAGAAAAGAAGAAAAAGAAGCAGATATTCTTTGACTAATGCTCAAGAACAAAGCCTTTGACCTTCGTATTCATTCGCCAAATTTCAGTTATGCTCAAACTCGGTTTTGTTAGACTCTTCATGGAAGAAGAAATGAAACTCTTGATGATGAGGCTTATATGTCTGAACCTCTTGGTTTTCTGGATATCGCTCCAGGAGAATGTTTGCCAACATCACAAAGCTCTTTATGGACTGATGGCGCTGTTTCTCGCTAGATGGTTATGATGTGCTCAAAAATAAATATTTTGATAGAATTCATACATTGATTTCATATTCAATTTTTAGTAAAATTAAAGGGCTAACATTTTGAGAAAAAGTAAACTACAAATTTTATCCGAGTACAGTGGAGAATGAAGCATATTTTTCAGCATGGTATTTCTGCATTGCATCAACCAGTTATACTCATATAGAGAACATATGGTCACAGATAAGAGGGATATTTGATGCATTAAAATATCAAATGTTCTGATGTAAGAGTTATAAGAAGATTTGGTGATTCGCTACTTAAGAAAATCTTACTCATATATGTAACTTACTTTCATCCCTTGCGACACCAGGGAGTGAAACACGAAATACATAGTCATCCTCAGATTCACCAATATCAACTGATCCAATAAGTGGTCCAATCTTTCCCAACAAAGCTGACCCAGTAAGTGCAACCCCACCATTGGCATAATTTATGAGATTATCCCACTCCTCTCTGGCTGGACAGGCAGAGAAAAAAACCATTGCAGGCTGACTCCCAGAAGGCTGCTGAGAGTTGATATGCTTGGATGCTGAAGTTGTATCAGCTTCAACTGAAACTGGACCCGCATTATTATCTGGTGACGATGAAGCAGGATAACTGTATGGTATAGGAGGGCCAGTATACGGCACACAACTAATGGGGGCCACATTAAGCGGCTCAGGATGCAGCGGAATTGAACCATTATTTTCACCATAATTCGGCAAAGAAGTGTGAGATGCTCTGGAATGCACAAGTAAAAAACAACATTGATTTCCATAATGATAATCACTAGTATTAAAAAATATCTAACTTCTCATAAAAAGATTTCATTCACCGTAGGACCTAAACCCAATGTAATAAGAGCTTCACCGGAGTAATCAAGTGACTGTTCATATGATGCACGAGTAGGAAATGATTTCTTTAACAATTATGAAAGAAAATCATTTCCTACATATGTATTATATGATTTCGCAAAGCACAAGAAAATCATAACCACACATTAAATGGTCACAAAATTGTTCATACATATTTCGGATAAGAAAAGCTTCAGCATCCACAGAGTAAGAAGTTATTTTTACGTTTGTATGCTTGATTGTCTACCAGTTCGATCCCCCCTTAGATGTTTTCTATTGAAATTTTTTTCTCATATCTATCAAAAGGAAAGACCCAATGTTTTTGTAAATAAATGCTAAATTTAACGAAGTGCGCCCCTTTCACTGGCAGTGTCATGTAGGATTAAGAAATTTCTTTAGAAAATATGCGCCTTCCATCCTTGGCAATTCATTATGAACAATTGTTTCCGGGTAATCAAACTGTTCATTTCGGGTTATATTTCCTATGCAACATAACACACAGAACGACAGCCAGAAAGGACCAGCCAACATTGAATTAGCCGTAACAATTTTTGACAGTCTTCGCCCGTAAAATGCCATCTCAAGGAAACTCTTCCATAGATATACGCCTCAATAGCATAGATATTCCACCTTTAGCATACAACTAGTAACAAGATTTGATCTTTTCAGCATACCCTTTTAACTAAAGTAAGCTGCGAATAACAACTGCGTAGCTGCATTTACAAGATCTTCACCAGAAAATGTTACTTTCTACGGTATGAAAGTATCCAGAAACACCCAAAAACATGAAAATCAACACCTGACTTTGGAGTTTGGAATACTCAGAAAGCAGCTAATTTTTATATAGGGTTTCTATTTTTCATTTCCTCTTGTGCTTAAAAGAAAGATAAAATCAGCAGTTTTGCAATATATGAGTAAAAATGTAATTAGGATGTGATCGTTCAAGTACCTCCAGTGAGAATCCATCGGAGAGCTGCTGGAGAAAAGATGGGAAATTCAACTGTCAGATATATTCCGGCAATACTCAGATCCAGACAAGTTTATAACTCTGAAAATATTGGGTTATATGATAAAAATCAGCGAGCGGCAAAAACCTGAAGATGAAATTCATTTGAATTTTCTTTCCTCAAGTGTTGGGTGAGCTCTGTGTTTTAGGCTTTTAGCCTTATTAGGGATTTTGAGAGTTGAAGGCCTCTGCTGACTTGGTTGTGACTTTTTTTTCCCCTTTTTCAGTTCTTCAAAAAATTGAGCAAAATTACTAAAATGGTCACTACCATTATTTAGGATGTATAATGAAATTTTTTTATATATATATTTATTTTCTTTATCAAATGATTAAAATGTCATTTCGATGAAATCGAAGATAAACTCATCACTGTGTCCCAAGGATTAAATTAGAAACTAAAGATAAAAAGATATACTCATCTTGTATGGTCTAGTCCCAATTTTGCAGTCATATGAAAATTGTCAAATTTAATGATTGATTAATTTTGGAAACTACAAAATAATCACTAAGCATTGAAGTATATAATACCACTTGATTGAAAGCTGATAACTAAATCATAAAAGCTCAAATAATATGCACTGGTATGGTTTTTATTCACCTTAGGGCGCCTTCCAACTTATCATATAGCGACAAGGAAAACACTCATATTTGATATTACACAGAGAACATTTATTTCTGTTATAAGATTATTTATTTTACATATTTATGGCAAATTATAAAATTTCTCTTGAGATATGTCTTTATGTAATACTTAACCATTTTCATGTTTCAAATTTTTTATTTTTTTTTTTGGTATAAGAAGCCTTTAACAGCTTGTTTGGATTGTTGTTACATATCGTTTCATAATATGTTGTATTATATTGTATCGTATTATATCGTTTGATGTATACAATGTTTTGATACATTGTATTATTTGCCGTCGTTTTGATGTCATAGACCAATAATATGAAGAATAAACTTGCAATATTAATACGAAAGTGAGGTACGAGGTATAATTAATATATAAAAAAGTATGATGAAAAATAATACAGAATTATTAGATAATATAGAAAGGCAAGATGAGAGGGAAAAAAAGGTAACAACACGACCACACCAAATCAATCGTTACATAAAATGACACTTTTTATTGTTACGTAAATATAGATTTAACGATACGATACAATAAAATCTAAGTAACAATCATGTCACGACCCGAATTTTCCACCGTCGGGACCGTGATGGCGCCTAACATTGAACCCGCTAGGCAAGCCAACGTTACTGATTATCTTACCTTTTAACTTTTATCTTTCAACAATTTACAAGATAACATAACATAAACGGCGGAATCAAATGCGGAAGAACAGAATTTAGCAGTTTAATGTAATACTAGTACGAAATCCCGAAATAGAAATCCACCCAGAAGTCAGAACTGGTGTCACAATATCATGGACTATCTAGGAATACTACAAATAGTGGTCTGAACAAGAAAAATACAAGTTTGTCTCAGAAATAGATAAAAAGAATGGAAATCTGATAGAAGGGAACGCCAAAGCCTGCGGACGCGTGCAGGACTACCTCGGGTCTCCACTGGACTGAAGGCAGCAACCTCAATCTATGGTCCGTAGGGTCCAGTACCGAGATCTGCACAAAAGAGTCCGGAGTGTAGCATCAGTACAACCGACCCCATGTACTGATAAGTGTCGAGCCTAACCTCGGCGAAGTAGTGACGAGGCTAGGACACAACAACCAAAAACCTGTGCAATTAAATCATATACCGAAAGCAATAATAACAAGAATAAAACAAAGAAAAAGGGGAAAGGGGAAACATGCTGAGAGGGGTATCAAGTTATATTAGATATAAAGCAAGGCGACAAAGTAAATATCAAACTTAAAGCAACGGAATTAATAACACAAAAACAAGTGCACGGCATCACCTTTCGTGCTTTCACTCTCGTCCTCGCAATAGAAATCAACAGAAACGGGATGGCATCACCCTTCGTGCTTTTACTCTCTCATAATCATGGCACGGCATCACCCTTCGTGCTTTTAATATCATTAATATGGCACGGCATCACCCTTCGTGCATTAACACTCTCTCACAATCTCACGCACGGCATCACCCTTCATGCATTAACACTCTCTCACAATCTCACGTACGGCATCACCCTTCGTGCTTCACACTCTTCCTCACTCAAACAAATACAATGGTAACATCCCGGCAAGGGAATCCATAATAGAAACATCAAATAGAAACAATACCGTTCCGGCAAGGGAGTCAACAGCAGAAATAATATCATCCCGGCAAGGGAATCAGCTATAACCAAACTAGCTTCAACAATTACTTCACAAATAAACCTCAGCTAGAACAATTACTCAACAATAGTCAACTACTAAGAATTTATCATAAGCCTTATACCACAGTACTAATCATCAATTTCAACAATTACAATACATAATAAAAATCACAACAATCTTAATATGAGACTCATGGGCATGTTTGACACCAACGTATAGATACTCGTCACCTCACTTATACGTCGTACTAGACACTAGCAAATAAGACACAACACCTATTCCCTCAAGCTAAGGTTAGACCAAACACTACCTCGAATTCCACGGCCAAACTCAAGCTCAAATACCGTTTTTCCCTTTTGATTCCACTTCCAATTCACTTGTATCTAACCCAAATTAATTTAACAACATCAATAAATGCTAAAGAATTCAACTCCAATGATTAATTATAGGTTTTCTATCGTTTTCTCCAAAAAGTCAAAAATCGACCCCGGGCCCGCTTGGTCAAAACTCAAGGTTTGGACCAAAACCCGATCACCTATTCACCCACGAGCCCGATTATGCAATTAGTTTCTAAATTCGACCCCAAAACGAGGTCTAAATTCCAATTATTCAAAAAGCCCTAACTCTACCCAAATTCCCAATTTCTACCATAAAAACCCTAAATTTTTGGATGAAGATTGATGAAATGCTATGGAAATTGAAAGAAAAAGGTTTAGAATTATATACCAATACTTTGGGGAAGAACTTGCCTCTTGAAAATCGCCTCAATGCTCTCTAGTTTTGAAAATATGAAGTTGTGGGCTAAATTCCCGTTCTGCTACTGTTTTAAGTGTTGGGCGATAGTGTTCATCGCGTTAGCATGAGCACTGTTGCGTTCGCGAAGAGCTGCCTACTGAGGACTTACGCGGTCGCGGGAAAGGCTATGCGTTCGCGAAGGTCTAGCCCAGTCCTGCCTTCGCGTTCGCGATATATGGGTCGCGTTCGCATAGGTTTCCCTAGGTTCCCTGACCAGCCCATCCTAAAGTTACGCGTTCGCGGTTGACAGGTCGCGTTCGCATAGAGCAGTCCCCCCAATGCTCCGCGTTCGCGACCTTGGTCTTGCGTTTGCGTAGGGTAAAATCCTTCCCAGCCCCAGTTTCCCTTCCGCGATCGCGAAAGTTACTACGCGATCGCGATGCATGGTGCAACAGACACCAGAATCAGCAACCATACCAGATTTTCACTACTACAAAAAAGGTCTTTGGCGGCAATAAAAAACAACATTGGCGGCAATAACAATAGGCGCTATATCATTTTCCGGCAATTGATCTTTAGCCGGTGATGCCGGGGTCGGTAAAGCCTTTAGCGGCATTTCTGCCAAAAGCTGGTAAAAGGTATGACTATTTGCCGCTAAAACTCATCTGCTTTAACTGCAATTGTTTGCGGGAATTATTATGGCTGCTAAACCCATTCTAAAAATGACTAATGATGCACCTTTAACGTCCATTTTTATAGCCGCTAAATTCAAAATATTTATCGCTAAAAGTCCATACATTTAGCGGTAATTGTTTTGTGGTAATTAAAGTGGCAACAATATCTCTTCTAAAAACGTATTAGTATGCCCCTTTAGCATCCATTTTAATGGATAGTAAAGTCAATTAAATTGCCGCTAAAAATAATCTTTAATTGGAATATAGTGGTTACAATATCCCTGTATAAACGTCTTAATCCTGTTAAATTGACACTAAAATTCACAAGCTATAACGATAAGTTTAGCCACCATTAATAATAGCTACTACATTCGACCAAAAAATAATGCAAATAACAAAACATATTGATATTAATTCATAAAACTATAGTATATCTCGTTAAATCTTAACAAACAAAAGGAAGTACTAATCCAAAATATTAATATCACAAAACTTTAAAAAATAACTCATATTGTTTGAAGTAAATAGCTAATGTCATTATATAACTAATCTTAACGAATAACAATCTTCAAATAATCCCTGAAACTCTTCGTCATATTGAAATCTTCCACCCGCTAAACTGTATGACCTGAAATTATAAAATAACTATGTCAATAGGAAGTAAATGTTGCCAAACAACAAAGCTGATAATAGTTTGCGAGGTTATGAAACTAAAAGTCCATAACCAGAAAGGGACACAAGCAAAATTGCAAGAATCTGCTTCATTAATGTCCCAAAAGTATGTATAGTCTCATCTATGAAGTATTTTAGTATATCTGTAAATGCATATCATACAAGCAAATATACCAAATCAGCCTTTTGAGCATTCTTCACCCAAAATTGCTTGAAAAAATATTGTTGAGAGAAGAATAGTCTGTCATTTGGATCATCACGTTTGAGATCAAATGCGCAATAGCAGATATCAAATTTCTAACTACTACACAAGATATCATATCTAACAGCTTATGACCAGCTTTGCCCCTCCGTTCAATCGAAATTTATAGTTGTTCGATTCTCCGACCCGGTTTGATAATCTAAAAATAGAATCAGGGCAGGAGACGAACCAGCTGAATTCTGATGATACCAAATCAGAACAAGATGAAGAACAACAACAAAGAGGAGAATGTTGCGATCACCAAAATGCAGAATTCTGATGATACCAAATCAGAACAAGATGAAGAATAATAGCAAAGATGAGAATGTTGCGATCACCAAAATGCAGTCTCAAATTAATGGCAAAGAGATTCTGAAAGCAATACAAGTAGTAGAGAGAGATTCCATGGCAATCACCGAGAGCTTCACTTCTCTTTTTGCTTCTCTACGCTCTACTCTATCTGAGGTTACTAGTACTTCTGTTGATCACATGGACTGCTTTGGCGATGCTGCAGGACGAGTTCAAGAATGTGCACTTGATGCAGCAACTAAAGGAAACCGATATATAAACTCTTGTCTGAAATTGAATGAGGAAATGAAAGGAATTGATAGTCTTGCAACACAGCTAAAAATCATCCTGAGAAATGTAGATGCATTGGACTCGGCAGTTAACAGGCTAGTTCGTTTTCCATGAGTGGATCGGTCTTGAGGAACAATATTGACTAGGTGAGCTGCACATATTTTCTGGTGCCACCAATGGTGCTTTATTTATGAGTTGAGATGCCAATTGAAGTCTTGTTTCTTATTTGTAAGAATTAAGAATAAGAATTGTGTAATCAAATGAATTGCAAGGCTGATACATTTTATAACCCAAAAAAAAACAGCTTATGACTAAAGTTTGAGATATAGTCTTTTCATTGATTGCATAGAAAAAGGGAGTTGATCAGGAAGTTGGAGACAAAAGAGAATCAACCTTCCATACATGTACTTGAGAATGGAGTTCATACATATCTGACAGCTTTTGAAAGGAGTCTTACAAGTGTGAACTTACAGTAAAATGCAATCTCACAGTAAAATGTGAAAGGAGCTTACAATAAAGAGCTTTTGAAAGGAGTAANGAGCTTTTGAAAGGAGTAAAAGGAGCTTTTGAAAGTTGAAAGGAGTTTATTGTAAGGAACTTACAGTAAAATGCAATCTTACAGTAAAGAGCTTTTGAAAGGAGTCTCACAGTAAAATGCAATCAGCTGTTTCATAGGAGGTCTAAAGGAGCAGCTAAACATAGCTGTGAAAATGACCAACCCCAGATCACTTGCTCAAGCATTCAAGGCATCCAGGATGCAAGAAGCCTACATAGATGCTCAGTCAAAGGAGATTGTGCAAAGGATATCATTATCTCCAGCTCAAAACTACAAATTTTAAAGGAATGTGGACCAAAATTCCAGAACAAGCCATTGCTGGCTTTACCTGCTCCCAAGAAGGATCAGCAACCAACTTTTAATAGAGGATTCAACAGAAGAAGACTAAGTATTGAAGAAGCCAATGAAAAAAGGGCCAACGGATTGTGCTACTTCTGCAATGAGAAGTATGTGCAGGGTTACAAATGCAAGAACCTCAAGCAAGTTTATGCATTAGACGTTGAAGAACAACTGAATCCTGTGTACTCTTAAGATGCTGAGAGTTCTGAGAATTCAGAAGATAAGTTGGAGTTGGTTGAACAAACAGAACATATGGAGATTTCAGTTCATGCATTAAACGGATTAAGTTCATGCATTCCAGTGCTATTGCTCCCAGGGCTTTAGTCTAGTACTAAACTCTATATTTTCAGCACACTATATAGACACTATTTCGATCAAGCAAGGCAACTAATGATATCAGATTAAGTAGAATTCAGCTAGAATCCTATAACTCTAGTCTTTCAAACAATAAACTCAAATAGTAGCTTGCCGAAGGATAAAGATGAGTAGTACCATGAGACATTGAAGTATTTTCAGCAACATTAGGTGTCCTTGATGTTTGTGGTACTCGTTCATGGCTACTATTGGCAGCAGAGACCTGATAAATATTAACACACCAGATAACAATACTTTTATAGGATTAAAACTTCATTAATAATATACATAACTTATAAAATCGAGTTACCTGTTCAATTGAGGTGCCATTGATATTTTGAGGCATAGATTCATTGGAAGCATATTTGCGCATCAATTGTCGCATTTCGAGTAATTCTGATTGCATCTTCTCCTGATTTTGTTTCATCAAATTCTTTCTTCATTGTGTTTATCCTTTAACTCGGTTATCTCTACCCCATAGAACAGAATGAGTTGGACCAAGTCCTAAACCACGAACATATCCACTTTTGTCATTTCCGAATACCTGAGAATACACATCGCCTTCCCAAGCAACAGCGCGAGGAGGTTGGTCAGTAGAGCTTTCACTATTGTTCGTCCTTTAATTTATCATTTCCTGGCCATAAAATACATAAATCCAATTTGGAATTCATTTATTCGCTTTTATATTTTTTCCTAACTATTTCCCAATTAAGAAAATAAAAGAAAAAAAAGAAATCTTACAATTGCCTTGACAGAATCATCATCCAGTGGTCTACCGTTCTTACGTTTTGCATGAGTTAATATGAAAACGTGTGCTCGTGTAGGCTCTGTCCCATTTACAGCCTAATACAATAAAATTGATGTAAGATATGCGTGAAAAAAAATTAAGGTAGCAATACTTTTGTGTAGCTTTACTTTACTTTCACGGAGTTCTATATTCAAACTAGTTTTTACAAAATCAAATATTTCTTCAAGGGAATTCTATGCTATCTAAAGGAATAAAGACGACCAAATAGCAGATGAATCACTACTCCAAAGGAGAATAATTGTTAATGACTATCTAAAAGCTGCCTTCATGGTTAATGCTCCTCCTTCATAACAGCGGATAACCAAGAAGGCGGCAAATTGTCACGGGGTGCTGCTGCCTATGCAAGAGGCTAAGAGAAGACACATCAGAGCTATGGGACTTTGTGTGCTCCTTCTCTAGCATCTCATAGGTGTTCACTAGAACAGTCGATGAAGTAATGTTAAGCTGGAATGTAGGTTGAAGACTACACTGTTGTACCGTTTTTGGATTATTTGGATCGGAAGAAAAAGGAGATTATTCTATTATAGTGAGAATGATATGAAGACTACAAAGGTTCTTGTTTTGCTTATACTTCTGGTGCAAGGAGAGAATTCCTTTTTGTATGGAGAATTGGACTATCTGGATGGATGAGTATTTTAAGCACGCACCCTATGTGTGCATTCGTACCACACTATCATGGTAAGTAATTAATGAGACGCATTTTGACTTATACAGAAAAGGAAAAGGAAAAGGAAAAGAATGCAATAACCTCCATACTCAACTTTCTTCACTACTCTAGTTAGATTCTGCTTCGCTCTTCACAAAGCTATAGTACTTCCATTTTCCTTTTTAATTAAACACGTGTAACACGTCCAATGCCTAAAACTCAGGCAATGATTTCCTTGGCATGATCAAACATATGGATGAATATAGCAACATAGTCCAATAATTCCAATAAAGAAAGCCACTAATGAAATTTGGAAGTATGTAGAAGAAATAATACTTGTCCATAGATTACATTTCAAATTAAATGCCACAAAAAATACACTAAGTACAGAAAGTAGTAGTTCATTTTCTAAAGCTTTTATCCAAATATTTAGCCATATTGACTACCACTGGAAACCCATTTTTCGTGTGGTAAATTTTCAACTCCAGATAAATTTTGTCCTTGTTTCTGTGTAGGTAAAATAATGTGGACACTCACTTCTTCAAAATCTTCGAATACAACATTTCACTTCAATCCCCCCAACCCAAAGCAAAAGAGGAAAGAGAAGAAAAACCAAAAATGCTGTTTGAGTACCCACTTTTAATGCTTTTACTTTTCACAGACGGACTAATACACAAGAATGAGAAATATGACATTAAGATATCAAACTGGTAGATGAAATAATCTGTATAGTTAGTAATTTGAACAAGTTTACCTGCTCATCCATCAAGGTAGCAGATCTTTCTTGAGGCTAAAGCTTTATGGTGGACAATAAAAAATATTCTCAAGTCCCGGGCGCAGAACACACAACACTTGGATTGAGAAACTAATAGGTTAGAGTAATCATATTTGACCTGTTTTCAAGTACTCAGGGGGAGTGAAAGCCAAGTTTGTACTGTAACTCTTTCCATCTCTACTGTTCTTCATCAAGCCAAAGCAAGAGAGTCTAGGATTACCATCCTGTAAAAATGCTAACCAATTTTAAGAGGACTATACCAACAGCAACCATTAGTAACTAAAGCTCGCCATAATCTAACGTTACCTGATCAAATAAGATTCTGTAAGCATTAAGATCGTGATATAACGCCCGACCTTTGCTACTGCAGTATTCCAAAGCTTGTGATAGGTAAAAAGCGACCCTCAACCTCATCGCCCATTTCATAGGTTGATTCTCCCCTATTCCATTTCAAAGGTATTAAATATCATGCCTTAATCACAGATTCATAGATTCATTCAATTAAAGTTGATAAAATGACAAAGATGCAATTGACTATATAACCACAAAAACACAAAATAACAGTCAATCTAGTAATTACAAACAAATCCCATCAGTTACAATATAATGTTCCTACAATCTAAATTTCTGAAATACAAAACTTTAACATTATTACATACAGTGAAACAAATGCTTTGCAAGGGTTTCATTAGGCATGAATTCAGCCACCGGCAATTTTTCTTCCCCTTCACAGCAACATCCAATTAGATTTGCCAATCTCTCACTCCTCAGATTCCCCACTGCCTTTGCCTCATCCTTTACAACAACACAAACATTATCCAAAATACAATAAAATCAATTGCTACACACAAAAAAAAGTTACAAGATTGGGAAAATGGGGCAAGAAAGTGTAATTAACAATACTAACCAAGAATTGGCGCGAATCAGACCAAGCAGACCTATTGAATCTTTTAACAACAACCCAACGACCATTTTCAAGCAAGCCTTTATAAATCTACTGTAAATTGATTGGACGAAGAGAAGTTAACACTGCCATTAACGCACTATCTTCTGTAAATCAATTGAACTGATCTTCTGTAAATCAACTGTAAAATCGAAGAGAAGAGAATTTACCTGGGAAGAAGATGTGCACAATCGTTGACGCACTGTAAATCGCACTGGCGTTTCCGCGCACTGGCGTTGATGCAGCAGCGAATTAGCTAGGGCGCACTGGCGTTGATGCAGCGTTTCCGCGCACTGGCGTTGATGCATCAGCGAATTAGCTAGGGCTTTTTCCGCGAAGTCGATTCAACTAGTAAGGGAAACCATTCAATGTTTTCCTTCAGTTATTTTCTAATTCTAATTGGGGAGGGAAACGAAAATAGGTATCAAAAAAATTGGAGGGAAAGATTTTCTTTTCTTTTGTGCAGAGGGAAAGTTAAAATAATAAAAGATTAATTACAATTAGTAATTTTTAGTGGCTATTATTTTTTATTGCCGGTAAAAGGATATCTTTTACTGGTTAATGGTCATATGCCGCTAATATTTAAGCTTAAAGAATTTATTAGCGACCATTGCCTTATTGCCACTAAATAATTGCCGCCAAAGGTCCTTTTTGTAGTAGTGTTTCCTAAGTCAAAAACACCCCGAAGCCTATCCGAAACTCACCCGATCCCTCGGGCTCCAAACCAAACATGCACATATCTCTAAAAACATCATACGGACTTGTTCGTGCGATCAAATCGCCAAAATAACATCTTAAATAACGAATTTAGCATCAAAATCAATGAAAATTTCAAGAACTCTTAAAGTTTCATTTCACAACCGAGGGTCCGATTCACGTCATATGAATTCCATTTCTTACTAAATTTTACAGGCACAACTTAAATACCATAACAAACCTGTACCGGGTCCCGGAACCAAAATACGGGGCCGATACAATCAAATTCAAACATCTTTAAATTTCCATAAACTCTTATATTTCTAGTTAAATAATTTCTTTCAAAAATTCATTTCTCGGGTTAGGGACCTCGAAATTCAATTCCGGGCACACGATCAAGTCCCATATTTTTCTACGGACCCTTGGGGAACGTCAAATCACGGGTCCAGGTCCGTTTACCCAAAATGTTGACCGAAGTCAACTTAAATTCGATTATAAATGCAAAATTAGCATTTTTATCAAATATTTCACATAAGAGCTTTCCGGATATACGCCCGGACTGCGCACACAAATCGATGTGGAACAAAATGAGGTTTTTAAGACCTCGAGACACATTTGACTTTCAAAATAAGAGATGACCTTTGGGTCATCACAAATCAAAACAAATATTGTATTTGAAGTAACAATACTATTTATACTATATTAAAAGCACGAATGCTTTTAGCGAAATGTCTTTCGTCTTTTTTACCCTTTTATAGTAGAGTTCATATTAGACAAAATAGTTATTTTATTATTTTCCTAATATTTAGTAATAATAATTTAATTAATTCCCTACTATTTTGAAATAATCATTATTTTATTATTTCTCTAATATTTATAATTTTGATTTTAATTCCTTTCAATTCTAGAATTCAATCGCTTACAATTCGTACAAAGGAAGTTTCTTTCACTTTCAACTCCATCTATATTCAATGGGCGTTTGTACATAAGAATTGTAAAATTTCAAATTACGGAGAAAAAATTTCAAGTGAAAATAGTAATTGAAATTTAAGTTGTGTTTGGACATGAATATAAATATGGGTTGTTTTTGAAGTTCTGTGAGTGATTTGAGTGAGAATTTTGGAAAACAGTTTTTTGGAGTTTTTCAAATTTTCGAAAATTTTCAAAATGCATCTTCAAGTGAAAATTGAAAATTTTACGAACAAACGTTGATTTCGGAAAAAAATAAAAAATAATTGAAAAAAAAAGAAAAAAATTTCTTATGTCCAAATGGTCTCTCAGGAGTCTTCACATTTCTTCCTTTTTCGAATTAGGGCTTTCTTTAGTTAAAGAGTCAAAAAACAATTAATTTCTTTAATAGGAAAACAATCGATAAATTTATTTATTATCAACCAAAAGACTGTTCGATCCCAATGTCGCAGTTATTATTCCAAAACTAGGCTCAATTGATCTTTAACAAAGTAAAAACTCGAAATGTTATGTTATGTTTATCATGACATTTTTGTTTAATAAATATGAATATTCATTCAAGATTATCAATGTAATAAAAAAAAATAAAAGAAACATCTTAATATTACTTTTTATGTGGCTTTTTAAAATTTTGTACACATGACCAGAGGTACTTTTGTATTTATATATAGCAAAAATTGCTAATATAATAAAAATTAGTTGACCTAAATCAAGGTTATGTTGAAGCATTGTGCTATTAAGATTTCTGTTTTTTGGGCATAATATTTTAATATTTTATAATTAATATTGTTAGTGTTCAAACGGTATAATTTAGCATTCTTATGAGATGACTGGATGCTTAAATATGAGTATGCTGTTTGATACAGATAAAGAATCACAAAAATAATAATTATGTGATTCTACAAAGATGTTTGTCGAACAAGTTTTATTTTACAAAGATCTAATGACATCTTTAGGATATACTCTTGATTATTATTGTTATTTAATTATTATTTTAATATTAAATTTTTGATGATAATTAAATTAATTGTTAAAGTTTTGACATAATTAAATTTTTTTTACTCTTAGTTATTTAATTGTTATATATAAATTATTTTCTTATTTGTTGTAAATTTGAGAATTAGTTATATAAATCATGTGAGTACAAACAAATTTACAATACACCTAAAATTAATTTAATTGATCGCTTCATTATAAAGTTCGTAGAATTTAAATATGCATTCTTTGTAGTGAGTATAACTTTTGGTAACTAAAAAAAAATATGATAACTTATGAAATTTATTTGGTGCAATTATAAAAGTATAAATTTTCTTAAGTTGAGCATAATGACTAATGACCGAAGACTTCTTTTTTTTTTTTTCGGAATTACTCGTAATAAGATATTGGCTACAATTGAAAAGGTCTTATCAATAAAATTTCCATTTATCCTAGTTTTTTCTTTATTGAGTTAGCTATATATATGTGGTTAATGTTTTTTATGTTTACAATTTTACACTTTATTTTATAACTCAAGTTTCAATTATTTTATACCTATATTTATTAAGATAAGGCACATGCATAACACACGTAGCCTAAGACTATTACAATACAATAGCAACAACCATCCAAATGTAAAAAGTAAATAAATGTCCGTTTGGCCATGACAAGAAATTCTCCACATTTAGTTTTTCAATTTAAGTTTCATTTTCGACACTAATTAATTAGTCTGGTCTACCCAAGTATGGATTAGTTTATCTATATTGCGTAATCAGATCTCATTATTCTCACAGGCAAGTGAAGTTATACTCCATTCCATAAACACGAAAACGCGTTAATACTTCTCATCAAAAAGCCAGTCTTGATCTTCAACTCCAATAATAATCTGGAATGGCATGGCCTTCAATTTCTCCTACTTCAACACCACTCTAACCTCACTGTTCCTCCTCACCACTCTCCTCTTCTTCTTCATCGTCCAATATTCCCCTAATCACATTCCCAAATCTCCCCACAGGTCCCTCTTAATTGTCCAAAAATCCAATCTTTTTCCTTGCAATTTCACTGACTCTAATGGAATCTTTAACTACTTTTCGTTCCATTATTGTCTCTTCCAAGAAAACCCATTTTTCTCCATCCCTTTTTTCACCCTTTGTGTATTTCTACAGTTCTACATCCTCATTAAAACTGCTCAAGATTACTTTTCTGTTGTGGTTACTAAGCTTTCTACACATCTTAGGTTGTCACCTTCAATGGGTGCAGTGACCCTTTTGGCTTTAGGAAATGGTGCCCCTGATGTTTTTGCATCTGTGGCTGCAGTTAGGGGAGGCCAAGCAAGAACTGGATTTGGTGCTATTCTTTCAGCAGGGACTTTTGTCTCTGCTTTTGTGGTTGGGTTTGTGGCGATTTATGCAGCGCCTTTTCCTGTTGATCCTGCTCCTTTTGTGAGGGATGTGATGTTTTATTTGACTGCTGCTTTGTTCCTTTTTTATGTGTACTTGAGTGCTGAGATTTTCCTATGGCAAGCTATTGGGTTTGTTGGATTTTATCTGTTTTTTGTTGGGTTTGTGTTTTATATGGACTTTGGGATGGGTTGTGGGAAAGGGAAGGGTGCTAAGTCTGGAGGTGAGGTTGGTTTGGTTAGAAATGATGAAGTTCATATAGGGATTATTGAGTTGGATTCTGAAAAAGGCAAAGGTTTGGGAACTGTAGAAGATGGAAATAAGCAAACTACTGGGTCTTGGCAAGTTATCGAAAAGGTATATTCTAAATTTTTCCAACTTACACATATGGCGATTTCATGTTTTAGTGAATTATTCATTTACCTGGCAACTGTATTGACATTTGATAGATGATATATTGAGCATTTTGAACCATCTTAGGGTGTAAAATTTCTTAACTTCGTGGTGTTTGTGGCCTTGCTTGTATGCTTTAATTATCAAGACACCAATTGGTATGCAATTATTTAAGAAGGAGAAGATTGAACATTTGCTGGAAAGATACCATAAACAATAAAATAAGGAACTGATGAGAGTGATCGAGGTCTAATAGGATTGTCCTCATTCCTCTTGTGTAGGAAACGATTTGGTTCTGTTGTGCATTGCTGTGAAATATGATTAAATCTGATTGAAGTATTCTGATTAAACTATGACCTTGTACTAGCTCCAGAGGCTTGAAAGTGGATATGTTTGGTGGGTTAGAGTCTAGCGTTAATGAAAAATCCATCTTGTAGCAATGAGAAAAAAGTTGGTATTGTATGATGATTTATGTTACTTTACTAACGTTGTGATATTTGTATGTGCTGTCTGCTAGAATTTTGAGGTCGCATTTGTAACATAGTGCGGATGATTACTGAAAATCGGCTCCATATTCTGTGCCTAAAGTCATGTCTTTCTTGAATGACTCTCTTCACTAACTGAGGATGCTGAATACCGGGCTAGATTACCTTTGTCTGAACATCATGATCTTGACAAACGATGCTGCAAAGTTAACGGGTTGTGTCCTTCTATCTCCACCTCAAAAGCAAACCATCTGCAAATGGTAGCATTTTCAGGTTCTGGGCCTCAGAGTGGGAAAATTTGGAACGACTGTAGTCTAGATAGTGGCAAGATGTTGGAATTAGGGAGTTAATCTAAATAATATGCGAGCTTCATTGCTCAATAAGAGTTAG